AAATAATATTGAGAAAAATCATGCACTTCATATAAGATACTGTAAAAAGAGGTCGTGTTCATTGCAATGAACTGATATATGAAGTGCAAATCATTCTTGATGCTCCTACACTGAACACATAGACTATTCTAATCTAACCTAAAGGTGGTACAAAACATTCCAGAAAAAGCAATCTGTGCATGCCATCTTTCTCACCTATGCTGCCCTCTGTTATTCGGATATGCCTTCTACTGGGGACTTGTTTAGTTTACCGGTGTAAGGAGATGGCCCCTGTGTTGGCTATGATTTACAGGAAGTATACAGTTTATGTATAGTGGATTGTTTGCTTTGATGAAAAATGTTAAGGCTCCCAGTTTCAAAACTATTTTACTATTTATTGTGTTCACTGTCTTCTTTACAAATATCTGTACAACATTCAAATGAGTCAGTTGGGAATATATCCAAATGCAACCTTAAGAAATGTAGCCAGAAAACAGGTCGCACTGGATCGAGACAAAGGGTGGTAAAACATACAGCATGACCAGACACACAAACCATTGTGCACATGCATGAATGGGAATCATGAATGGAACACATGAATGAGAATGACCTGACACCTGAAAGACAGCAGTGCCACTCAAAAAAGATTTTGGGCTGGGTGTGGTGGTGCATGCCTGTAGTCCCAGTTTTGGAGGCCAAGGTGGGAGGACTGCTAGAGCCCAGGAGTGGAAGACCAGCCTGGGCAACATAGCAAGACCGAGTCCCTACAAAAAAAATTAAAAATTAGCCAAAAGTGGTGGCAGGCACCTGGAATCCCAGCAACTCGGGTGGCTGCGTCCAACACTCCAGGCATGCATCTGATTTCCCTCTACATCTAGATTCAATGTACAATTAGCATTTTTTAAGTGGGAGTTGAGGATGCGGCTTAACTGATCAAGAAGTTACACACAAACATACACAGTGGAAGAGAGAGAGGAGGTGGAAGGATAGCCTGAGCCCAGGAGGTTGAGGCAGCGGTGAGTTTTGATTGTGCCACTGAACTCCAGCCTGGGTGACAGAGAGACCCTGGCTCAAAAAAAAAAAAAAAAAAAAATGCTGAAAACATTGGCAAATTCATACTAAAATTTAGGTTGAGATAACAGGGATCTGGTGTACAATTTATGTTGCACACCCTTTTCCATTTTTAAGAATTTTAAAGTTGCCCTTTTTTTTCCAAATGCCTATCTTTCTAAAGTATGCTTCATGGAATAATGCACTATAGTAAAACAGATGAATTTTTATACAATTATCCAAAATGACTTTACATGCAAAGCTTAATAGCATAGAATAAGCTCATATATTTAAAATAATTTACGATATCAATGGAATAGTGGAATTTGCCTTAAAAATAGTCCTTCTGAATGCATAAAACATATAATTGGGAAGAAGAGAAAAATAAGGGAATCAAAACCGTTATTTTGATAGTGAGGAATAAAGTGAGTAAGAAGGGAGAGCCCACTGGAACAACTGGGCTATGCTTCGCTTCACGTAATTTCGATGTGTATCTTCCACTATTCTGTAAGACAACTACACCAGGCTTCCATGTTAGCCTGAATTTTATTTTATGCTTTTCATTGCTAGGAATCAGTAACTGCCCAAAACGCTCAAATAACCAAGGCATGGTTGAGAACACAGACGAACTCCAGGTTCTGCTCTAAGAAGCATATCCCCAGCATTCACAGTTGACACAAAGGGAAAGCTTTGAGGGAATCTGAACTTTTCTGTGTTTGATAAGGGAAGAACACTTAATGCAACAGGGGCAGTTACAATGCCTTTCAGCAAAGTTGCCAGATTCTACGAATTTCTTCTGGTTAGTTCCCGAACATTTTGGGGGAAGAATCCATACTTGGAGTCTAATGGAAGAAGAATGGGTAAGTGATAGCTACGAGAAACATATTTCAGAAAAACAGCGCTCACAGTGCTTCCCCCTAGAGAACCTAGCCGAGGCAATTTACGAACATTAAAATGCTTCCCTCATAAGGAAGAGAGGCCACGGGTAATGTCATCAATTACATGATATTTTCCCCACTTTTTACAAAGCCGGCCAAATTTAAGGTGGATCTGAGGGGGCGGGTAGTTTCTAAATCAGCTCAACGTCAGATATTTTCTTTTCTACCATCATTTATAAAACACATTAGTAACCTACACCTGATTGAACCACACATCAGAGTTAAGAGGAATGCGGTTCTGATTAAACACCTGGATCTCTTTAGTAGCAACTTCAAAATAATCACCCGTCACCACAGAGTTTTGGAATATTCAAAAGGTAACGTATGATCCCAGCCAAACTGGAGATGAACACCTCCGGCAACATTTCAGGTTTGGGGCTTGGAACTCAACAAGTGATAAGAGTATAGGCTGAAAAGGCAGTTACACCCCAGCACCTGCCACTCATTAGCTGCGTCTATTTGGGTGAGGCACTGAACCTCCCTGAACTTAGGCTTCTTGTCTACGAGACAGGAAGAAATGCTACTCATGTGGGGCCCAGTTCACCTCACAGTGGACCCACGGAGGGCAGGGGGCAGAAGCAGAAGTGGTCATGATGCAACATCCATTTCTGCTGGGAACTGAAAACAACACGGTGGAGTGGGATTCCATGTTTTACAGGCAAGGGAGCTGAGGCTCAGAGCTAAGGATCTGCCGCATCTCAGCGTGAACACCAAGTGCTCACTTCAAGGTCATGGCCTTGTTCACAGGATGAAAGCATCCGCTGGGTCAACGAGAGAGCTCACGCTATCAACGGCTCGCCAAAAATGGCAAAGCACCACAATAACATCATGTGTCCCTATTATTATTATTTTTTGAGGTGGAGTCTCACTCTGTCACCCAGGCTGGAGTGCAGAGGCATGCTCACGGCCACCCAGCGTCGGCCTGCTGGGCTCCGGAGATCCTTCCACCTCAGCCTTCCAAGGAGCCAGAAATACAGGCCTGCACCACAATGCCCAGCTAAATTTTTTGATTGATTGTAGAGAAGGGCTGGTCTGGAACCTGAGGGCTCAGGCAGTCCTCTCGCCTCAGCCTCCCAGAGTGCTGGGATGACCGGCGTGAGCCACAGTGCCCGGCCAGCATTGTATTACTATCACTTTGTAAATTGCCAAAATGTATTTTCTACTGAACACACAGTACTGCTCTTAGCAAGAGTATGTCATCTCCAGAAACCAATGAAGAGGCATGAATAAATATGCAAATCAAGACGCAAAACAAGGGAAAAACATAGAAAATAAAATAGCTGGGCTCGGTGGCTCAGCCTGTAATCCCGCACCTTCAGGAGGCTGAGGTGAGAGGATTGCCTGAGCCCGCGGGTTCGAGACCCGCCTGGGCAGGCGAGACCTCATCTCTACAATAAATCAAAAAATTAGCCGGGCGTGGTAGCGCACGCCTGTAATTCCGGCTACTCAGAAGGCTGAGGCGGAAGGATCGCCGGAGCCCAGCAGGTCGAGGCTGCGGTGGCCGGGAGCGGCCACTGCACTCCAGTCTGGGCGACAGAGTAAGACTCCAACTCAAAAAAAAAAAAAAAAAAATATATATATATATATATATATATATATATATATATAAGTGCACTGTCTTCTGTCCTCCAAAGTGTCTGATGATAAATCTGATGTTAATCCTATTGACGATTCTTTGCATGTGACAAGTCAATTCTCTCTTGCTTATTTCAAAATTTTGTTTATGTCTTTCAACAGTTTGATTACAACATATCTCAGTGTGAGTCTCTG